AATGCTTCAAATACTGCTTATTCACCATTATTACTATTTCATGAGGTTCTGCTACCTACTTTACCAAAATATATAGTTTTGAGAACTTAATGTACACATATTTATAAACAGCAAAAGGAGAAACTATTTAGTTTTACTAGAATACTACAAGCGCGCGCCATTTCAGCTTCTTCATATTAAAGTTTAGAATAAATATTATAAATAAAAAATAATACCTGAAGTATAATATAAGTTCGATAATATCCGACTCCAACATATGCTGTATTAGGCGCATACAGTTCGAAATTCCATGACATATATTTTCTGCATAGTAACGCGTAACCATATAACTACTGAAAACATCGACGTTTAACATTTCTATTCAAGACCATCTTAAGCTCTCTCTCTCTCTCTCTCTCTCTCTCTCTCTCTCTCTCTCTCTCTCTCTCTCTCTCTCTTTCCTCATCTCCCTCTCACACTCTGCCTCTCACATTCATTCTCTCCCTCACTCTCTCCCTTTCTTTTTCTCTCTCTCTCTCTCTATCACATTCTCACTCTCTCTGACACTCTCCCCTCACTTACACACTCCGTTTCTACCTCCCTCCATCCTACACCCTCTTCCTCCCTCTCCCTCTCAGACTCTCTTTCAGCGGACCCAGGACTCTCCTTCTCACACTCTCCTCTCTCCCTCTCTCTCTCTCTCTCTCTCTCTCTCTCTCTCTCTCTCTCTCTGTCTCTCTCTCTCTCTCTCTCACTCTCCTCTCTCTTACAGTCTCCCTCACTCACACTCTCCCTCTCTCACACACTCTCTCTCTCCCTCTCCTCACATTCTTCTCTCTGTCACACACTCCTCTCTCTTACACGCTCTCTCACTCACACTCTCTATCTCTCACATTCCATCCCACGCTCTCACACACACACACACGCACGCACGCACGCACGCACGCACGCACGCACGCACGCACGCACCACGCACGCACGCACGCACGCACCACGCACGCACGCACCACCCCACGCCCCCACGCACACGCCACGCCACGCCACGCACACGCACACGCACACGCACACGCCACCACACGCACACGCACACGCACACGCACACGCACACGCACACGCACACGCACCCGCACACTCACACGCACACGCACACGCCACACGCACACGCACACGCACACGCACACGCACACGCACACGCACACGCAACGCACACGCACACGCACACGCACCACGCACACCACACGCACACGCCACACGCACACGCACACGCACACGCACACGCACACGCCACCACCCCCCCCCCCCCGCACACGCACACCCCCCCGCACACGCCACCCACGCACACGCACACGCACTCTCTCTCTCTCTCTCTCTCTCTCTCTCTCTCTCTCTCTCTCTCTCTCTCTCTCTCTCTCACTTAATTTCTCCTATATTCTTTCTCTCTCTCCCTCTCTCTCTTTCTCTCTCTCGCTCACTCTCTCTCTCTCCCCCCCTCTCTCTCTCTCACTTTTTCTCCCTCACACGCTCTCTCTCTCTCTCTCTCTCTCTCTCTCTCTCTCTCTCTCTCTCTCTCTCTCCCTCTCCCTCCTCTCTCTCTCTCTCTCTCTTTCTCTCTCTCTCTCTTTCTCTCTCTCTACCGTTATATTTATTATCATTACCCGAGATAGACGAAAAGAAGTAATATAGCTTATAAAATTAAAATTGTAAACTTGCTATAACCCCATTATAACTCCTTTCGTACAAACTGAAAGTACAACCATGAAAAAAGGAAGGTGTACTAGGTGGCGAGGGGACGCCGTGTGTTCGGAACCTGCATCTTATTTTCGTTCCGAAGAGAGAAAAATATCAAGAGCGCGGTAATCGCTAGACCGGGAATCGAACCCGGGTCTTTCGCTTGCCAGGGAACTGCTCTAAACCACTGAGCTACCTGACGCTCCACGCTCACGACACTCTCCTTTCCCTAGATAATGTTAGAGATGTCGTTCGGAAGCGACATCTCTAGTGCTATCCCGAGCGCACGGCGACTACAAAGAGAGGCATTGTTACATGTACCTAGTGGTACAAGCTGGTGGTCTCTCAAGGTCAAAGGTTGCTATCCTTTAAGACTTGGGGTTCATGTATGCCGGCCTCCACCGTTGCCCCTTCTTATACGGTGCAAATCATAGAAATAAGCCCCAGGGTCGATGCCATATTTTGACTGCCCTCGGGAGCTTGGACACGTTGTACCACCAGGTACAAGTAACAATGCCTCTCTCTGTAGTCGCCGTGCGCTCGGGATAGCACTAGAGATGTCGTTTCCGAACGACATCTCTCAACGTTATCTGGGAAGGGGAGAGTGTCGTGAGCGTGGAGCGTCAGATAGCTCAGTGGTCTAGAGCAGTCACCCGGCAAGCGAAAGACCCGGGTTCGATTCCCGGTCTAGCGACTACCGCGCTCTCGATATTTTTCTCTCCTCCGAACGAAAAATGAGATGCAGGTCCCGAACGCACGGGACGTCCCGTCGCCACCTAGTACGCCCTCCTTCTTTCATGGTCTTTGCAACGCGCCGAAGGGGGATCTACCATGAAAGAAGGGAGGGCGTACTATGTGGCGACGGGACACCATGCGTTCGGGACCTGCATATTATTTTCGTTCCGAAGAGAGAAAAATATCGAGAGCGCGGTAGTCGCACTCTACGAAAATGCATCGTGCCGACGATTTCCGATACGTTTGACGACTGTTCTAGTTTGTTCTACTCGAGTTCTATCCATTTCAATCGGTTTCAGAAAGTGTTCCGACGTGCAAGTACTTTTTTATGAATTTCGAAATTTAACGCCAGCACGACACTTTACGAAAATGCATCGTGCCGACGACTTCCGGCACGTTTGACGACTGTTTTAGTTTGTTATACTCGAGTTCTATCCATTTCAATCGGTTTCAGGGAGTGTTGCGACGTGCAAATATTTTTTTATGAATTTTGAAATTTAGCGCCAGCAAGACACTTTATGAAAATGCATCGTGCTGACGACTTTCGGCATGTTTGACGACTGTTCTAGTTTGTTCTACTCGAGTTCTATCCAATTCAATCGGTTTCAGAGAGTATTTCGACGTGCAAGTATTTTTTTTATGAATTTCGAAATTTAGCGTCAGCACAACATTCTACGAAAATGCATCGTGCCGACGACTTTCGGCATGTTTGACGACTGTTTTAGTTTGTTCTACTCGAGTTCTATCCATTTCAATCGGTTTCAGGGAGTGTTTCGACGTGCAAATATTTTTTTATGAATTTTGAAATTTAGCGCCAGCACGATACTCTATGCAAATGCATCGTGCCGACGACTTCCGGCACGTTTGACGACTGTTCTAGTTTGTTCTACTCGAGTTCTATCCATTTCAATCGGTTTCAGGGAGTGTTGCGACGTGCAAGTATTTTTTCATGAATTTTGAAATTTAGCGCCAGCATGATACTCTATGAAAATGCATCGTGCCGAAGACTTCCGGCATGTTTGATGACTGTTCTAGTTTGTTCTACTTGAGTTCTATCCAATTCAATCGGTTTCAGAGAGTGTTTCGAGGTGCAAGTATTTTTTTTACGGATTTTGAAATTTAGCGCCAGCACGACATTCTACGAAAATGCATCGTGCCGACGACTTCGGGCACGTTTGACGACTGTTCTAGTTTGTTCTACTCAAGTTCTATTTCAACCGGTTTCAGCGAGTGTTCCGACACACAAGTAGGTTGGATCGGAAGTTGGCAGTTTTAACCGCTAAATTTCAAAATTCATAAAAAAATACTAACACGTCGCAATACTCCCTGAAACCGATTGAAATGGATAGAACTCGAGTAGAACAAACTATAACAGTCGTCGAACGTACCGGAAATCGTCGGCACAATATATTTTCGTAGAGTGCCGTGCTGGCACGACAATGCTTCAAAGATGTTATGTTGTTATTTGATGCAATTTGGTACTGAAATTCGGAATTACTATGTATCTAGAGTAGAACTAACGGGAGCTCTCGTCAGAACGCCTATTACATAAAGCCTTCTGGAACTTTAGAGGGAACTGTGTCGTGCTGGAACAGAAGTTAGCACGATATTTTTTCAATTTCGATTTTTTGGTATTACAAATGCGAAACTTTTTTTTCTTTTTATCAGGAACTATAGAACTATGAAAAGTGCTACTGGAACTGGTATCGTTTTTTTTTTTTTTATTAAAACGTCGTGCTTACTTCACAGACACCTATAGGCCGCGGTAAGCGTGGAAAACGCCAAACTTTACGCGGTTATTACTGAAAAACTATTACGATTTTCACATTATGGCACAGGACTTTTTTGTTCCTCTCACTTAGCTCTATGTCCTTACGGAACCCATGTCCTAAAGTTCTGAGACACCATGTATATTTATGTTTTCCCACAAAAATTTTCTATTTTTGCAACAAATTTCTGGTTGCGTTACAAATTAATCTGATTACGTTGCATAACGAAATTTACCCATAATCTTTTTGTTTGAAATAAATCTTATTGAATTAAAATGTATAATTAAACGAGATAATATTTGAATTTATAAAGATATTTAGTATTAAAAGGTCAGAGAAATCAATACCGAAAGATAAAAAATTCACGAAAGAAACAAAAATTTATACTTATACTAACTTTTTTATAACACATATTTACATTAAATATAAATTATGAACATACAAGTATTACGTTTGAAATTTTTTATATTGTTGATGTTATAACATCTATTATAAAATGTTATTAGAAATTATTATTAGGAAATGTTATTAGTTATTAGGAAAAAGAAAATACATCGTAGACTTGTCCATTATATTGTAGATATTATATTACTTCTTAAATTAGTAGGATAAACATATTAATGTAATTGTTAATATACTCATTGCTCTTTCAATTATGCCATTAATCTCAGTATTCAGTACAGATTTTTAGAATATGTAAATTTTCTTTGCGTTTAGTATTACTAAATTTTCAATTTTTATGCTTCTACTTCTCAATATTTAGATTAAAATACTATTATTATCACCAACCTGAATCAGACATATTTTCCACTTGTATTTCTTCGCAAATTGACAGGTTTTTTTGTTTTTTCTTCTCAATTTCCTCTTGTCTCTCTTTTTCTTCCAATTTTTTTATCGATAATTTTTCCATCGATAATTCCGAGCTATCTGACTCTTCAGCAAAATTTATTACTTTGTTTTCGACTTCAACCTTTTCCATTGTTTCTTCTCGAATAACATTCTGCTTCGATACGTCTTGCATATCTGCAAAAAAAATTAAAATTCACTATCTAAAATTTACATTGATTAAATACATCGAATTATATGTTAATTAGAAAAAGATGGAGAGAAAGAGTACCACCTGCAATACAGGTGGTTATTTCTGTCTTGCGATGATAAATAAAAATAGTAAGGCTTGCAAATTTAAATTCTCGATGAAACATGTTGATTAATCCAATTTCACGTATCATAGCAAGAAATCTTTAAAATAATCGGCCTAACAGAAAGCTGGAAGTAAAAATTTTCTAATTATTAAATTTATATTTACTTTTGTATAATTTGAAAAAGAGGAATATATTGGGTCTGGGAAAAAGTTCGTGGCGTTTTTTTAGTAAAATTCAACTGGTTTTCTTATAGTGTGAAAGTGAATTTATTTAAACCAAATATGCTCCTTTATTATCGACAATGTTTCGTCATTTTTCGGGTAGAGCCATAATGCCATCGGTGAAGAACTTCTATGGTTTCTGGTTGAAAAACTGAATCAAGTGGTTTTCACAGGCTTCTTTTGAAACCAGCTTAATTCCATTGAGAGAGTTCTGCAGAGATCGGAATAAGTGATAGTCAGAGGGTGCTATGTCTGGACTATACGGTGGATACATCAAAACTTCCCAACCAAGCTCTCGCAATTTTTGACGGGTCATCAAAGAAGTGTGTGGTCGGGCGTTGTCATGGTGGAAGACAACACCTTTCCTATTATTCAATTCGGGCCGTTTTCTGTCAATTGCCTGGCGTAATCTCTCTAGTTGTCCACAGTAGAGTTGAAAATCAATCGTCTGACCAACTGGAAGTAGCTCATGGTGGACGATTCCCTTCCAGTCCCACCACACACACAGCATCACCTTTTTCGGCGTCAATCCTGGCTTCGCGAACGCTTGTGACGGCTCACCATCCCTTATCCACGATCTTTTACGCTTCCGATTGTCGTAGGTGATCTATTTTTCATCACCGGTTATGACACGTTTCAGAAATGGCTCAATTTCATTGCGTTTCAGCAGCGCATCGCAGATGTTAATTCGGGCTATCATGTTTTTCGCGCTCAACTCATGAGGAACCCATACATCGAGCTTCTTTTTGTAGCCAGCTTTGTGTAAATGGTTCAAAACAGTTTTGTGGTCAATGCCTAGCTCCATACCAATATCGACACTGCTGATATGCTTATCTTGCTGGACTTTTTCAAGAATTTCATCAGTTTTTTCAGTGATTGGACGACCAGAGCGTGACTCATCTTTCACATCAAAATTACCAGAACGAAAACGAGCGAACCATTTCCGCGCAGCAGATTTTGATAAAGTATTTTCACCGTACGCAGCACAAATTTTTTCACAAGCCTGCGCAGCGTTCTTTCCTTTGTCGTAATAATATTGCAAAATATAGCACAATTTTTCATTACTTTTCTCCATTTTCAAACGCAAACAACTTTCCAACCACTGCACCAATTTCGATGTTTATACACTCAAAGTAACGCTCGAAGTATCAGTTTCCAACAAGCGTTTAGTAGTGTCCCTGCGATCTGTGTTTCCTGAGTTATTTGCAATTGACGCCATCTATCGGAAAAAACGCCATGAACTTTTTCCCAGACCCAATAGTTATGTGATTTCTCGATGGCATTCTTATAAGAAAATCGGTCTCTCACCGATTTTGACGGGTTTTGGATATGTTGTACAGCATTAAAAAATATTAGATTTTTTCTCATATATATTTTTTTAATAGTATATCAACAGTTAAGAATAGAAATAACTTGAAAAAACAGACTTGTTTATTATTTGCAAATATTTCTTAAACTATGAGGTATATGAAGAAATATTTTGTGTAAAAGTTGTGGAGTAATTTATACCCTTTGAAACGCTTATTTAAATTAAAATATGTAAAATTTTTAATCCTTTCCCTCTCCATGTTACCTCTGCAAATTTAAGTTTTTGTAAGAACCAAAATTGAAGAGCACCGGATACTAAATTCATTCATAAATAATATAAAAAAGTAGTCATAAATAAATTTTTGGAAAATGACATAATAACATCGTGCTATAGATGTCGTCTTGTGTGAATACTTATGTATCGCTAGGTAGCGTTATTTTTCATTATTTGTGTTATGCTTTATGATTGCTTGTACATATTTTCTCATATTACAAAAAAACAAATTAATTTTAATCATATGGTATAAAACATATAAAATGGTATAAAATGGTATGAAACATAACACAAAACAAAAACGTGAGCGTAGAGGACCCCGCAAAATCCTTGTAGAAAATTGCTTTCAGCTAAAGTTTTTATAAATTTGCTGTATGATAGTTCTTAATGTATGTCCAAAGTATCAATGGGCTCAAAATCCGGTAATGAACAGTTTCTGAAGTACGGCAGTTCGAAGTTGGGTTTTTCGTACATTTTGCATTTTTTTGTACATAATGAGAATTATATTTATATATATATAGTATGATCCGGAACAATCAGTTATTCTTAATATACCATATTCTTGAGCAAATTCTAAGACTATTTTTCCTCTTGAAAAATGTTATCCGATGCTTAGTTACTGAGTTATTAAGATAAATAGTTCGTCTATTATGGGCCGGGAACATGGCCGGGGAACAGAAGACAGGAACGGAACGATTGACCATTGTTGGGACGCACGCCGTGTAGGCACTGACGTTGGACGCTTGGTGCGATGTGCTAATTAACGCATGTAATAATATTCATCCATATTATTTTTAAAACTTAAAAATTTTAACCATTACAGGTGTAATAGCAAATATAGTATTATAAATTAAATAGTAGAATATTATAATGTAACATTTAAAAGTAAAATATTCGATATTACGCGAGTTTTTTTTAATTATAAAATAAACTATAAAAATATGAACGAGAAAAACGGAGTGTTAATTACATTTAGAAAGCATAAGATATTCTTACTTTTGAGTGAATCTAAAATTATATTCTTTGGTAAAGATTGCTTATCTTGTGATTAACAGTTTTTATCACTTATTTTCATTCCCGTAAGATTAATGAGTTTCATTTTTAACTTTACGTCCGATTTGATCGCGAGATTGTGGATATTCCTTTCTCCTCGTGGCATGTAAAATTAAAGAGAACAGAGGTTAAAAATGCGACGTTTATTCGCGTTTTACAATAAATCGAATGATTCGTAGCTTGCCTTATAATTTATCAATCGGTCTCGTTCGCATATCTCACCAATCGGTTCCGCTCGTTTGCCTTTAAGACACAAAGCCTTGCTGAAACAAAGAGTGATTTTTGAAAGCAAATCAACGGATGAAGAATGTGTGTGGGCGTTTTGAACACATAGAAATTGTTTTATGTTTACCGCGAACGAATAAACACTGTCACTGTCACTGACAGTTTATGCAGGCACAACTCCAGTCGTACAATACAAATTCTATATTAGGCTTGCAACGACGGAAAACGGCAATAAGCGACAATATTGATCCTTATTGATACTTTATATATTGATTATATGTTGATACTTTGATGTTGCAATTATAATAACTCAGTAACTACAATAACTTAATAACTAAGCATCGGATAACATTTTGCAAGAAGAAATATAGTCTTAGAATTTGTTCAAGAATATGGTATTGTTACACGCGACCGTCTCGCGCGTACCCGGTTCGCGAAATGAATTTGGACAAGACTTTTAAGAAAAGAAAGAATTTTTCTTTACTTCAAATATGTACAAACTCTCACTTATTAACGAATTCTCTCGTTCTAACAATAATTAAGAATAGCGTTTAAGTTACGTCAGCTCGCGGCGACAGCTCGTGATTCTCTTTCTCAGCTATTGTTGTTTTCTTCTATCGATTTTCCGTCGTCCAGACAATCATCTTTCAGTTGTCAAAATAGATACCAGATGCCTAAGGTTTGCGGACAATGGACACTGCCACAAACCTTGTGGCTCGGACACAACAGTATATTAAGGACAATTGATTGTTCCGGATCACCCTATACAGGGTGTCTTAGAACTTTGGCACACAGACTCCGTAGGGATATAGAGCTAAGTGAGAGGAACAGAAAAGTCCTGTGTCATAATGTGAAAATCGTAATAGCTTTTTTAATTATAACAGCGCAAAGTTAGGCGTTTTCCACGTCCAGCGCGGTCTATAGACGCTATGTGTGTAGGGGCTGAGCGAAAACGCGGCTCGCGCTGACTGTCATGTGGCGTCAAAGCACCAAGATGCCATTGTGACAGTCAGTGCGAGACGCGTTATCGCTCAGCCCCTATACACACAGCTTGCCGCGGAGCATCTATAGGCCGCGATGGGCGTGGAAAACGCCAAACTTTACGCGGTTATTACTAAAAAACTATTACGATATTCACATTATGATACAGGACTTTTTTGTTCCTCTCAATTAGCTCTATGTCCCTACGGAGCCCGTGTCCCAAAGTTCTGAGACACCGTATATATACACGCTCATGTACACGCACACGCACACGCACACGTACATATATGCATACACGCACACATACGTGTCGAGGGTGTCTCAGAACTTTGGGACACGAGCTCCGTAGGGACATAGAACTAAGTGAGAAGAACAAAAAAGTCCTGTACCATAATGTGAAAATCGTAATAGTTTTTTAGTAATAACCGCGTAAAGTTTGGTGTTTTCCACGCCCATCGCGGCCTATAGACGCTCCGCGGCAAGCTGTGTGCGTAGGAGCTGAGCAATAACGCGTCTCGCGCTAACTGTCGCGATGGCGTCTTGGCGCTTTAACGCCGCGCGACGATCAGCGCGAGCCGTGTTATCGCTCAGCCCCTACGCAAACAGCTTGCCGCGGAGCGTCTATAGGCCGCGCTGGGCATGAAAAACGCCAAACTTTATGCGGTTATTACTAAAAAAACTATTACGATTTTCACATTATGGTAGAGGAATTTTTTGTTCCTCTCACTTAGCTCTATGTCCCTACGGAGCCCGTGTCCCAAAGTTCTGTGACACCCTATATATGTATGTGTTGTATCAGGTGTAGTAAAAAGAAATCCATTATTTTTCCAATAGATGGCTGTAGTTATCTGCATCTCGCGTTGCATAAGTCCGATCGGGTTCCACTAGATGGCGTTAGGAAGATGAGATTTCGTACTAAAAAAACTTTTCTGACAGTTTTGTGATTAGTTGACTCAGTTTTATTTGAGCGCACGCCAAAGATGGACACTAGCAAAGAGAAAATACGCTATATTTTACAGTTTTTCTTCGATAAAGGCGAAAACGCAAGCCAGGCGGCTGAAAATGTGAATAGTGTTTATGGTCCTGATACTGTAACAGCCAATCACGCGCAATTTTGGTTTCGTCGATTCCGTTCCGGTAATTTCGATGTCAAAGATGCACCACGCACGAAGGCCAATTGTCGAAAAAATCGATAAAATCATGGACATTGTCGAGTCCGACCGTCATGTAAGCACTGTTTCGATTGCCCAAGAGCTAAAGATTGCACAAAAAACCGTTTGGAACCATTTGAATAAGGCTGGATACAAAAAGAAGCTCGATGTATGGGTGCCACACGAGTTAACGCAAAAAAACCTCGTGGACCGAATTTCCATCTGCGAATCGCTGCTGAATCGCAACAAAATCGACCCATTTCTGAAGCGGTTGGTCACTGGTGATGAAAAGTGGATCACTTACGACAACGTCAAACGAAAACGGTCGTGGTCGAATCGCGGTGAGCCGGCGGAAACGGTGGCCAAGCCAGGATTGACGGCCAGGAAGGTTTTGCTGTGTGTTTGGTGGGATTGGCAGGGAATTATCTACTATGAGCTGCTCCCCTACGGCAAAACTCTTAACTCGGAACTGTACTGTCAACAATTGGACCGTCTGAAGGAAGCAATCGCCCAGAAGCGGCCAGCTTTGGCCAATAGGAGAGGAATTGTGTTCCATCAGGACAACGCCAGGCCACACACATCGATAGTGACTCGCCAGAAGCTCCGGGAGCTTGGTTGGGAGGTTCTTATGCATCCACCTTATAGTCCGGACCTGGCACCAAGTGATTACCATCTGTTCCTGTCCATGGCGAACAATTTTGCTGATGAAAAATTCGCTTCAAGAGAGGCTTGTGAAAATCGACTGTCTCAATTTTTTGACAATAGGGACGAGGGCTTCTATGAGAGAGGCATAATGAAATTACCTTCAAAATGGCAACAAGTTATCGAACAAAACGGCGCATATTTGACCTAAATCGGATCATTCTAAATATGGTAATTAAAGCCTTCAATTTCATGCAAAAATAATGGATTTCTTTTTACTACACCTGATATTAGGTCTGTGCATAAGTTTCTGGAGTTTTTCGGCGATTCAGTTTGTGTATATTAAAGAAACAACATATACTTGTTTAGTTAAAATATTGAGTTGGCAAATAAGTTCGTTCGGTTTTTGTTTCAGTGTAAGTTTTATGCGGATTCGCTTCTCTTTTCTCAGCGCTGTCGTGCAAATCGAATACACATTTGAAAGATTATGTTTCACTTTTATGTTGTGCTTTTATGTTGTGCTGTGTTTGGTTTAGCTAACATCAGTATTGTGTGTACTGCGTAGCTGTGAACATGGAATTGCGAGGGGCCAGGGTGCTTCGGCATCCTGGTACAGGGGGCTCAGGCATCCCCGGCAGACCCTAGCCTACTACACTGTAACCCTAGGTCATGTCTCTGGGGCCGGGGGTCTTGCCTTAATCGGCCGGACCGCGAGGCGGGATCTCTATAAAATACCACGTAATCCTACGGTTGAGGCATGCCACGCTTATGGGATGAATGGCAGGTGCGTGACCTGTCGCTAGTGGTTCCTCACCCTGGGCACCTGGCGAACCCAGGGGACACGCTAGCCTTACCCCGGGTAATGCGGGGGCTCTACCCGGGGTCGACGCCCACTTCCCGCCGTACTCGTGGGACCAAGAATGGACTCTCAAATATTAAAACAAAAAACCCAGAGCCTTCGGGCTCAACGGTCCTAATGGACGGGCGTAGCAGCCCGTCCATGGATCGACCACCCCTCGTGGGTGATTTTTTAGTAGGGAAGGGGGGTTTAGAGGTGGAGAGAGTCCGCCAGGCGGAAGCCTCCTCCCCTCCCTCCGGGGAGGTTGAGCATGCGGACTCCAGGGGGCTAGCCCCTGGAGGGCCGCCTATTAACGAGGACCGACCACCGTCCTCAAACCGGCGTCTCCCTGACCGCGGGGATGGCGCGGTGAGCCCGCCGGGTAGGCTGACGCGGGCGGCCACCCAACGTGGGAGCACCAAGTCCCTGGTGTCCGCGGGTAAAACCGCGGCACCAGGGACCAAAAGACCAGGCCCTCTCTGCTCAAAGCAGGGGGAAGGGAAATCTTCTCCCAAGAGCAAGGGTAGTAAGGAGGGGGCAGATGGGGCTGCGGGAGCGTCGGGGCGAGTCACCGGTCCGGTGATAAGCTCCGACGTAATTCTTTCGCAGGGAAGTAAGATTTGTCTCCAGGGCCTTGGAAGGACTGCTGCGGGACCAAGAGTGGGAGCGGGCAGAAGCGGCCCCCTTAGCCAGAACACCGGCGGAGGAGGAAGGAAGAGGATGCGGGAGGCCGCCAACACAAGCGGCAGCTCCTCCGGGAGGGAGTCTCCCGCCCTGGAGCCAGTAAAGAAGGGGCCGGGTCGGCGACCCACCACTGGGGAAGGGGTGGGGGCAAGGAAGAAAAGGGAGATGGAGAGGAAGAAGGAGGAAGAGAGCCAAAGATTGGAGCAGGATGTCCGAATACTCCTCGACACGGGAATGCTGACGTCCCTTGAGGACAAGCGCCCGGTCGAGGAGGTGTTCCGCGATAACGCCACCATCACGCTCCTTAGAGAGGCCAGGGTGACCGAACTGGCCTCGGAAGTGGGTCGAGCCTTGGGCGCGGTTCGATTGGTCGCACGGAGGTCCCGCACGTTGAAGGGGACCTTCGTGGGACTATTGAACCGCGCTGTGGCCACCTCCGAGGCCGTGATGGCCACTCTGCTGGCGCGCACAGCAGAGCAGGACTGCAGAGGAGGAGAGGCCTCCGAGACGAAAAGGGAGGCAGAAGAGCTCCGGATGGAGCTGAAGAAGTTGCGCGTGGAGAATAGGAGGTTGGGCGAGGAGTTGGAGGCCATGAAGGCCTCCACCCTTCTTCCCTCATTGCTCTCCAGGGGAAGGAAGTTGACGTACGCGGAGGCGACGGGAGGATCAACGACGTCAACAAGCACGTCGGCAGAGGAGGAAGAAGAGAGGACAAGGAAGGAGGATAGGAGGAGGAAGAAAAAGA